ATCGATCGCATCGTTTAGTTTCGCAAATTAAGCAATATTGAAAAGTGTTGTTGGTATTTACTTTCCAAGATTGCTTTATCACTTTATACACAACATTACAATACCTTACTACGAAAAAAGTGTATTACTTTTTATCCCGAAATTCCAACACAAATTTATAAAGACTGAAACGTAGTGAAAATATTGCGTTTCCACACTCGCAATATCACAGAAATTACGAACCATTACCATTTCGCATGAAAGCAATTGTTTCTGTCTGTACATCGCCACTTACAAAGTAATTTATTATTTAGACGCAATGAATCGATGGATATTTCCTGCAATTTAACCTTATTATTGCAATAACTGATTCTCATTCATTTTCAATTTTCATTGCAATCGTAAATTCGCTAGAATAAAAGATTTATATATTATTTATTATCAGTTATACCAATTATTTGACTCCAAATAATCAATAAATCCTTCATTGGACTCTGTATACACTATTACAACAAAGGCCCAGAAAATATGCAGGACCTATCTATCAAAAGATTTATAATCTTTAGTAAGCAATTTGTTTAGTAAAAGGATTATCATACCAGGTACTAAAGTGTACATGATTGATTTTTAAATGTTATCATACTTAATTGCATAATATATTATACGAGTCTTATTGTATTTTTCTTTCAAAGTCCCGCTGGGTTTTTTGCTGATTCTTCCCGGGACAGAGGTTTCTTCCGAATCAGTGGTGAAACTTCAATGACTTACAATTATAGTAAGTAATTATTCTTGTAATCTATATAGAATAAAAATGATTCTATTTTATTCTATTAAGAATATTTTATTTTACACACACACACACACACCCAATATATATATATATATATATATATATATATATATATATATATATATATATAATATAACTATAATATTAAAATTTTAATGTTTTTTGTTGAATTTGAGTGTATACTATTTCTAATTGCAATTCAAAAGGTTGTTTGATTTATTAATTTTACTTTTGGTCCGTGTTACCTTCATTAATAGGAATGGGGTAAGGAATTGATTGAGTAAATTAGTTATTTATATAGTTTATTAGTGACTTAAAACAAGACAAATATGCACTCTATATGAAGTTTAAAATTGTAAACCAAACTACCTTACTTTATGAACTCAAGAAACGTTAGAGTATACGCGAATTTAAAATCTAATTGGTAACAAACAGTTATAGTAAGTATACTCGTATTTAGTGTATTTTCATATAAGGAAAATTAAAAAAAAAAGTTACCAAATACTCCCTTAATAGTAAATAATCTTTGACAAGTACTCTTTTGCAAAATAATATGAATTATTAAATGTAATTATTTAGCTGTGGTATGATTTTTAATATTCAACTAATTTATTTTTATAATCTTAGAAGATATTTAAACTGGTATGTTTACTAAGAAGTAAATGTATGTAAATTCATGTACACATACAAACTGGTAACTCAGTGCGACAGCGGAGAGTATAGGGCTGAAACGGGTCGCCCGCCGCAAATTGAGATGTGAGCTGGTTTAGTGCAAATTGAAAGTGCTTACGAAATGCTTTGTATTTGTAGCCAGTTCGGGACAACCAAAAATCAATCCGGGTAATGGAGGTTTGTCCGAATCTGCTTAGATTATTCCCAGACGACGGCCTTTCCGCTCATGGATTTTTGTCCGCTACGGATTTATGTTTAGTTTATTAAACGACTTTTATCAATCATTCAAGTTTATTTTAAACCAAAATTATTTAATTATTAGGAATTTTTAGAAATTTAATTAATTATTAGGAAGAAAAATTAAGCTTTTGTATAGACAAAAGCTTGCTTTTTCTTCCATGACTACGAATTTACGTGTTCATGAGTTTAGATTGATTATGACCAATTTTACTTCGGTATTACATAGACATTTTTTTATTTTGTTTAAAGTATATAGTATTATTTCAGCCTATACACGACTTACTTATTGAGCACAGGCTTCCACTGATTATATATGAGAGGGTCATGTATAAATAATGCATAAATAATTTTATTTCCCGGGTAGGTTTCTTTACGATGTTTCCCTTACCGCTGAGATCGTGATAAACCGGCACTTAAAATTGCAACGAACCATTTTATTTCTTTGGCTGATGAGTAGATAGTTAACAACAAAATTTATCTCGCATATCACGATCATTTCTGCGTGTATTCCGTAGTGTGCTGTCTACAACTACTAAAGTCGCGTAAGAAAAGTCATGCCAGTTCCACAGAGCGCGTTAGGGAAAGCATTTTCCGTTACCACTACAACGCGTAGCCAGTTAAGTTTCGGGAGCGGTGCTTAAGGCTTTTAAAAACGACTAGATATATCTCGATGACATTTATTATCTATATCATTACAATAATGAACTAAAACTAATTCAGTACAATACTGACTTCTTTAACTTGGTGATTACTTTACTACGATGAGGACTATAATGAAAATAATCCTGAATTCAACGGTTTTTATAGGATGGTCAAAACAAGTCTGTTGAATGAAACTGTGACACATTGGTTTGACCAGCAATGACAATTTTACTGTCTTCTGTAACGTTGCACTTCATAACATTATTGAGTAACCTAATATCAAAAGCTTAGACGGCAAATTTCGTGATCAACATGTTGTAAAATTATGGCTACTTTAAATATGTTTAAGAGTAATCTAATATCAAGAGATTAGAATCAACACAATCAGGACTATTTAGGATCAACAGGTTGTCATGATATTATGGCTACTTCCGGGCTGCATAACTAGCTAGTAACGAAATGAAATATAAGTTTTTATTCCTTTGTCGACATAGGGTTATTATTTATTAGAAATTTCGTTTCTTTAGCTACGCAATTCTTCATCATATTCCGATATGTATATAACCTAGACGGTTAATTAGATATTCGCATAATCCTTCAGCGTTTTTCCAAATGGTTCTAGGGTGATTAGAAATACTCGTATCTTGTACTCCCGACACCCCGCTCCCATCAGGTTTCCTCAATGTTTCATCAATTCATTCTTACACTACCACGGCTCTCTACGACTCCCGTGAGTTATACCGTATTTGCTACCAAGTGCGCTAACGAATTACTGAAGGGATCGCAGCCCTGAATTAGCTGCACAGGCACTATTGATGAAAATAAGTAAAACTTTTGTAGTTATACCTATTAGATTTCGTATTTCTTGCTTTTTGCTGTTTCCTCTATTTTTAAATGAAAAAAAATATAGACCACAGACAAGAAATATAGACCACATCTTACTGGACCGTTTTTCGAAAATAAGAGTAACCATGTAGCTCTAAAAATGGCTTTCCTATGCAGATGGTTTTTTACGTCTCCCATAATTGGGCCATCTCTGAGTTCTCAAGCTGTAGTACATGATTTATTTGATCGATTCAGATAAAAATATTCCAGATTTTAAGTCAGGCAGTAATTTTCGCGTGATGAGGTGATAACCAGCAACTCTAAAATGATTTGGGTTCCATTGTTAATTCTAGCCTACCTAGATAAATTTCGGGAAAACAACTCGGGAAATTTATCTAGGGAAAAAAAAAAAAAAAAAAATATATATATATATATTATATACGATGGCACGTTTGTGAGCTGACTACTGCAAATATTTACATTGGGCACGTGGATTAAAACTTACGGGTCACAATCGATTTTCTTATAGCTTTATTAACACTTTTGTAACCAAAAGTCGGTGTAGCTCAGGGGCCAAGCGCTCGCTGTATATTTCACAGTACGCGAGCAAACCGGGTTCGATCCCCGACGGTAAAAATGAATTTGTTAATTACAATTTAAAGTGCTGATTTACCACGTGCTCGGCGGTGAAACATTGAGAGGAAACTTGCATGTTTGAGAAAAAAAAATATTTCGAAAATGTGAAGTTCGCCAACACGCATTGTAGCAGATATTTGCGATGATATAAAATAAATGCACAATAATATTTAATATGATGTGATTACGCACTTACAAATATGACAAAAGTGGGTCACATCAAATATCAGACTTACGAAATATTTGTGACGTAGTTAGATTCCTATAAGTTAGTTTTAAGTATGCTTGTGTCTCTTTCTATAAACGTACGTACATCTAGGTAGATGTAGTTTACTTTAACCTACCACTATCGCCAACACACTGCATGGTGACTGTGTAAAAAGAAAAAAATATAATATAGATTTTAATAACAAAAAGTGAATTCGGAACTTTAAAATGAACACTATCATTTTCGCCGCATCCGGGCAAAAAATCGATGAAAAATGTGTCAGAGCAGTCAATATAAAGAAGACATCTTCATTGCTCAAAACGCCGGAGGAAATGCGCAAATTACATCCCCCAAGTTCAACCTGTCTGAGATACTACTTATCTCCTTATTCGTCGTTTTGTTTGCTGTTGGCGGATACTGAGATTAGGAACGGTTACGGACATTAGGAAGTCCGTAACCGTTCACCACAGCACGCTCGAAATGCAATCCCGCCCGTCACATCCAAACTAGGAAAGAAAAAGAACAAAGGACCAACTTGGAACTCGTTTTTATGTAGTGACTACGGTTTTGTTTCCGACATTTCATGTAAGTGTTTTAAGTCATTTGCTAGTAATTGCCTAATATAGTTAAGTGTATAATTGATTAATGATTGAGAAAATAATTATTGTCCTTATTTAGTATTCTATGCTAGTTTGTGATTTCGCAAAAATTAGTAGAGTTACACAGTAAATTGCAAAATATAAAAGTTTATTTAAATAAATTGGACCTGAGCGTAGAAAGAAAGAAATAGGTCAAACTAAACAAAAAGAAGCGGATGTAGTTTATTGTCAGCTTGAGTATATTTTGTGTGAAATAAAATCGGATATAGATAAATATGGGATATATGCTGAAGATATTATTAAATTTAACTCTATAGTGAGTAGTTTACATGTAATTTACAGTGAAATAAATAAGTTAGTTACGGGTCATATTTCTGACGCTACAAGTTAGGGTTCCGAAGCTGCAACCATGGCTGACAAAATATCTTTTGATTTTAAAACAGCTATTAATTTACTTCCTATCATGAATGGTCAAAAATACGTCACCAAACAATTAATCGATGGTATAGATATGTATAATTATAAACTTGACGAAGCGTCAAAAAAATCGTTGATAGTTTTTGTCTTAAAAACGAGACTATCACTTAGCGCTAAGCTGCGATTAAGCTACGCTGCTGTTGATTCATTGCTTAGTGACATGAGAAAATATTTACTACAGAAAAAGTCTGCAGTTGCCTTACAAAATGTTAAGCAGAGTCATAGGTCAATTGAGGCGTTTGGTAATCTATTAGAAGATATTTTTTCTAATTTCACGTTAGTGTAAGCCGATGGTGACATTTCAAAGTATTCAACTTTCTCTATAAAGGATAAAGTAGCAATAAAACGTTTCGCTGATAGATTAGCTAATCCAATGCTGAGTATTATTATTGCGTCAAAGGAATGTGATTCTCTTTCAGAGGCGATTGGCACTGCTCTGAATGAACACACAATGTCCTTCAGTAGTGAACAAATAATGAATTTTCGTCATAACGCATCTAGATCTTTTTATAGAAGTAATAACAATTCTTATCGTGGGAGAAACACATGCTTATAATTCGCATAATAATTCAATGCAGTCGCGTTATACGAGCGCGCCGCGCACATTTGCGTCGCAACAAGGTCACGGTCTCAAGCGCGGTCAAGCTGCGTCCGCTCGTGCTCAGCTTAGCGCTGGCCCTGGCCGGCTCCAGCCGCCCGGCGCGCCACTGCGCCGGCGGCCCCGCCGAGAGCGTGGGCCCCGCCACCGCGCACGCCCCGGGTTCACCATGTGTACTGTGATAGGTAAGCAAAGCCCAGGCTTTGTTCTCGTACGAAAGTCAGTTTTTTCAATCAGAACGAGGTAAGTGGACATGTAGTTTTTAATTATAATACTACGAGAACCGTTTCTTTTACTATGGAAAATAGATTCGTACATTTATTATTAGATACTGACGCCAGTTTATGTGTAGTTAAATACGATGATGGTTATTAAGCATAATAAGTAATTTGAGTAATAGAATTATTCCAAAAAAATACTATTAGAGGTGTTGTGGTAGGTTAGTGCCAGATGGGTATATTTACTTAGAATTATTAAATAATGGTTTGACTTTTAGACATAAATTTTATATAAACCTATCATGTTTAGCTGACGGGATTATAGGTGATAATTTCTTAAAGCAATATCTAGTGGTTATAGATTATAGAAAAGGCATTTTAAGTTTATGTATCTCTGATAAGACCATAACTTCGTCTATAAATAGCAGATATAGACATACTTTACCCGCAAGGTGTGAATGTATAAAATACATACCTACAAATATTAACGATGATTGCGTCATAATCTCGAATGAATTAAGAGAAGTTGTGTTTATTGCAGAAATGATATCAAAACCTAAAAAGGGAATTATCCCAATTAGGATATTGAACATAAACGAAAGTGACGTGGACTATGATTTTTCGAGTTTAGAAGTGCATAGCTTGCAACATTTCAATGTATGTTCTTTTTCGGATAGAGACATATCAGTCGATCGAATAAAGACATTATTTGAACTTCTAGATTTGCGTTATTTAAATAAAAATGACCAATTTAGTATTGAGAGCATTTGCGCCAAATATGCGGATGTTTTTCATTTTCCCGGAGATATACTGTCGGTAACAAACCTTATGGAGCATCCAATTACGTTAAAGGAAATGTAACACCTGTTTATATTAAGGCATATCTAATTCCACATGCTCTTAAATCGGAATTACAAAAACAAATACAAAAATGTTAGATAACGACATAATCGAAGAATGCGATTCAGAATGGTCTAGCCCAGTTCTTCTTGTGCTGAGAAGATGTGACATAACTAACGAAGAGAAATACAGGCTTGTTGTCGATTATAGGCAATTAAATAATAGTATAAAATGCGAATAAGTTCCCCATTCCTAATATTACTGACATTTTAGATTCGCTGTCAAATTCAGTATATTTTTCAAAATTAGATTTATCTCGAAGTTACTACCAGTTAAATTTAAATGAAAATTCGAGAAAATACACTGCTTTTCAATTGGAGATGATGTACTAACTTTCCCTTCATCTCGAATAACGTAAATATACTGCCTTCACAGCTGATAAGATATACCAGATGAAAGAGTTTGTCCTAAATTATGGAATTTCGTGTTCGGAATCACTGAAAATGTTACAGAAGGCTTACGGTGAAAAGACTTTAGCACGAAGAAACGAGAAAACACGTGCTTATGAGTGGTAAAAAGCGTTCAATAGCGGTCGAGATGTGATGGAAGATTTGCCTCGCTCTGTTAGGTCATTAACGTCTGCAACTGAAATTAACGCGATGTTGAATGATGATGATGAAAAGTGAAGGAAATAGTGACTAAAAATCCTCATTCAAGTTTAAGAGAGATAACCACCGAACTTTCTGTGTCTCACGAGTCGATCTATATCGTTTAAAATAATTACCTAGGTATGAAATATGTTGCCGCTCGACTAGTTCTAAAAGACCTGAATTTTCTCTAAAAACTCAATCAAATAGCAGTCCCTGAGAACATGCTAGAACGAGTCAGTTCCGACCCAACTTTCATGAAACGCATTGTTACTGGAGACTAGACGTGGGTTTGCGAGTTTGACATGCAAACTAGCCAACAAGCTTGGAGCTCGTACGACAGATTACAATTTGCTTTCGACACATACAAACTATTTACAGATTGCGAATGTGGTGCGCCACGCTACCGGGACAAAACTTCAGCCAGATAGCACAGCACTTGCAACGATTTGTGTAATCGACGTTTTACCGATCGCCGACTGTCCTAAACTCTACTGGTAGAATTTTTACGTACCGCATAAAAATACTTTTAACGTAAAACTAAAACGTAATTCCTATTTTTAAATGAAATAAACCACCTGGTCTTTTAAAACTGAGTATCTTTTATATAATTGCCGTTGCTAGACTAGCCGATTTTTATAGACATGAGGGAGGGATATACGTCGTAGAGCCAAACTGCAGCTATATTAATTTTAGCACGACCATGTTCTCACAGAATACCAGCGCAGAATAGCAGTTTAAAACTGCCGTGTTTCGTAGAGAACCAGAGACCCATTTTACTGGAATCGAGGCATTCCATCATCCATCATAACAACATCCTTTTTATACTTAATCGAAGATGAATGTATATGTTTATAGGCCACAGCATCCACTTATCATAAGGTAGACTGTGTACTCGTTTGTCACCCTTATTCTATAAAAAAATAACGTCACTTTAAAAATATCTGTGATCAGTCTAGGCGGCTAAAGTCACCGTTACTTTTAAGGAATAAAAAACTTCAAAATCACGTTGTTCCTTCTCGCTGCTACCGTACTATTTCCTACGTTACTCCTGTTACTGATTCAATAAAACAAAAGGAATGATGCGTAGTTACTGGCTTAGTACACCCGCTGATCGACTAGGTTCGGTAAAATTTATATAACTATTATTTAAATAAATATTTCGTTCTTAAATTAAACTAGAATGGAAATAAAATGAATTAATTACCAAATTACGTATGGTCATTTTATAAGACGTTCCAACATTCCAAGTATCCGACGTTACCAACGTGATAAAGCCACGGTGATTTTTTATTGTGACTTGTGTAACCGGAACAACTCTCACGGTGATGGCAGAATAACGACCTTACCCATGTCTAAAATTTTAAGGATGGCGACCAATTTCATGGTAAACGCACACACAGAGTGTCTGATCATCGTCAGTAGTACACATGTATAAGACACACGAGTACAATCTCTACTCATCCAACCCGAAAAGCAACTTATTGTGTTTATGCACAAATGTGATTATTGTGATTATTTCACGCGATCGTTAGTTACCATATAGAAAAGATAGTTTTAGTGTATATACTAATATATATATATATATATATATATATATATATATATATATATATATATATATATATATAGTAGTTAGTATTTTACTCTTTAAAGTGCTCAATATATTGAAACTGATGTTGTTTGTTTCAAAATACCGTGCAAATATAGTTACAAATATCTAGAAAGAATAATAATAAGATTATTTAAATGAGCATGTGATAATATTTTGAGTAGTCATTGAGTATATTAAAATTTTTCATTTAACGATGTGGTAATGGAGGTTGTTAGAACAAAGCAAGCTAGAACTATATTAATATTTTTCTCTTTATTTTAAATACGTATCTAATTTACATTTTCTGTTATTCGTGTCAAAATAGAAAAAGAAAATACTTCGCACTCTAAACGCTCTACTAGAATTCTCGTTGAAATTCAGAACGACTTTGTTTGTTAACCATAAGCTACTGAGCAATACAATAAAGTGAATTGAAATAAATAGTCAACAATTTCTTAAATTTCAATTGCAGTCATTTTCGATGTTAAAATATGTACGTATTAAAAAAACAACATCACTAAATGAACATCTGTGATGACTCCCAGACCGATTTCTCTCACGACGGCCAGTCTCAACAGAGATCACCCGTTTACGCGGGACAGGATTATAGTGCACTAGTGTACGCGCAAGCTCTGGTGCACTCTCTATTTCCTCACATTCATAGTCCGATGTAACGGTAATTCGACGCGATCGAAGATAGATCAGGCGCAGGACCAACGGCTTTCCGTGCTTCCGAGACACTGGGGTGAAACAGCGCCAACTTCCTGACTCCGGGCTTCTACTGCGAATTTCTCGACAGAAAAGCCCTATCACTGATTTTGACCCAACCGGAGATTCGGACCCGGGCCCACATGATTAGCAATTGCGTTTACAACTACCAGACCAATGAGGCAGTCAAACATCTGTAACCATGTTGAAAAGTGGAACAATAAATATATTTTACCATTACCTATTTTTTATGAATTCAAGAATTAGACTTCGTGGAAAAATCTGTCAAAAACATGTCTGAAAAATGTCATAATATCCAACATAGAATTCATCCAATTGATGTAGCTCATACTTTGTTTCAATGCTTTTGATATTTCAAATCACCAAGGTTTTTTATACAGGTCCGGTTTACTTAAAATGTAAACCCCAAAAACGTACAGAAATTAATATGAAATATTTATAAAACTTTAGAGGAGAATAGGTTGTGAAGACTCATGGTTCGTAATTGTTACGAAATGTCTTTTGTAAAACAATATATCATTATCTTACCTGTTATTGTATATGTTATTGCATGTTAAAGAATTATTTCACAAAATATACAAAGTAGCTTTTTTTTCATTTTTATTTACGTGAAGCATTGGGCACACAGGTTGATTTCGTTGATACTTTTTTTGAATATCGGATTGACAAACGTGGTCACTCCACATGTTGGTAAGTACACTAATCTACAACATATTCTAGGGCAGCTACAACTACACAGATGCGCTGTTAACCATGAGGGCTATGATGAAGTGCCTCACAACTTGTCAATATTTCTCTTGCCCACCAAGCCAGAATACAGGTCTGGATGCATTGTTGGACAGTAGAAATAGAGTGGTACCAACCTAGCAGTAAAATATCCGAAACGAAATCGAAACAGAGAGTGACAGATTTAGAGGACGGTCCAGCTGAGTTGGATTCTTTGGTTGAAACTCTTGGACAAAGTTAGACCTGCAAGGTTAAAGGGATCTAAAATTTACTTTAATTAAAAAAAATAGTATTAGGTATGTCACATCCACCAGTACCATCCACCTATTCCTCTATTCACTGCTGAATATTTGCGACAAAGCTAATAAAGAAACAGGCCACAGATGTGCTGTTAACCATGAGGGCTATGATGAAGTGCCTCACAACTT